TCCAGGTGTGGGCTGATGTGAATGGCTTCCCAGGTAGCTTCCCAGTACCTAAGTGATGTATTAACCCGTCCACATTGCAATGACCTGACCTTGCAGCTGAGGAATCACCAGCGTTATCTCATGGGAAGGTCTCTTTTTCAGCATCTTTGTTATAATCTCCTAGGAGAATCTAGGAGAGAAGTTCCCACTAGTTTGGCAAAACCATGTGAGAATAAAGCAAGAGCAAACAGAGAGCTTTATTATGTTTATTTTTGACCTTTGGGGAAAATTAATTTCTACTTGAATTCTTTTTTAGCTGTTATTATTAATAAGACATAATATAAAATTTTGGACAAGAAAATCTCTCACTACACACTCTCAGCACCCTAACATGCAAAATATTTTCCATTCCAGTCTCCAAATGTATACAAATTTTAATCAGCTTTCGTGAAATGCCCCTACAATTGTGTATCCTGAATTTTCTCTGAACAATACATCATAAACACTTTTTGTGTCATTATTTAGTTGTCATCATAATTTTAATGGTTGAGTAGCATTTCAAAGTATATTGATACTGATAAATAAAATAATATTGTAACATTATGGAAAAAACACAACCCTACGATGTAGGCATTTTAAAAATTATATGTTGCTCTTGCTGATGTGGTTCAGTGTTTGAGCATCATCCCATGAACTAGGAGGTCACAGGTTCAATTCCTAGTCAGGGCACATGCTCAGGTTCTGGGTTTGATCCCTGGTAGGGGGCGTGCAGGAGGCAGCCGATCATTGATTCTCTCTCATCATTGATGTTTCTGTCTCTCCCTCTCCCTTCCTCTTTGAAATCAATAAAAACAAGTTTTTAAAAAAGTTATGTATTATTACTTGCCTGACCAAACCAATAGCCATTTTTCTCTTTGTGCTTTATATACTTTGAAACTCATTAAATACATTAGAATAAAATCAGTTTATCTCATCTTTGAATCCTTAATTTTTAGTCATTAGATATAAACTCTCCATTGCATGGATCATCTTGCTGGGCTTAGAATATTAAACAGATATTAAGCTCTCTCTCCCTGTTATTTTCTGTTCTCCAGCCGGGTCCCCTGCATTCCCACAGTTTAAAGTTTATTTCAAACTTTATTTTTATCATGTTCTTTGTTTCTTTTAGATAACATGCATGTAATTGTGAAAATAAATTCAGATGAAGGCTTCCTTTTGGAGAGATGGGTACATCACAGAATGACTTGGTCTGTGGAAGGAGGCATTCTTCCACAGTAAAATATTTGTGGGAATACAGTGATATGGTTATTTTAGAACTAGAGGACCGATGCACAAAAATTTGTGCACTCGGGGAGGTCCCTCAGCTCTGCAGTCTGGGACCCCTCGGAGGATGTCCACCTGCTGGCTTAGGCTCGCTCCCGGCCACGGCAGGCAGAAAGCTTGGCTTCCTCCATCACTGGGGCAACCAAGCCTCCTGCTTGCTCCAGCTCCATGGCTGCTCGCCACCATCTTGGTTGGGTTAATTTGCATATAGTCACTCTGATTGGCTGGTGGGCGTGGCTTAAGCCATAGAGAAGGCATGGTCAATTTGCATATTTGTCTTTTATTAGTGTAATTAGAGAAACAAAATCCCCCTCCCCCTCCTTCCCCTCCCCCTACTCTCCCCCTCCCCCTCACTTCCCCCTCGCCTCTCCCTCCCCTTCCCCTCCCTCTCCTCCCCATTCCCCTCCTGCCCCCTCCCCTCCATTCCTCCTGTTCAGCTTGAAGATGACAAGGATGAAGACCTGTACTATGATCCACTTCCATTTAGCAAATAGTAAATAACCACGGTGTCCCAGTTAATAAACTTACCTAGTGTGCGTGCGTGCACGAGTGCGTGCGTGCGAGAGAAAACCTACTAACTGTGCGGCAACGACTGGGTGAGACGTTTTGTGGCATCATCGTGGGCAGGACATGTGGGAAGGGGACGGCTGCCTCCGCGGGATGCAGGATGCGGTGCTGGTTTCCTCCAGGGGGGTTGGCGTGTGTGATGCCATCGCCACGCAGTGTGCCCTCCTCCCTCCTCACTCCGCTCCATCCTCGCTCTGTCCTCATGCCTTTGGGGCCCCACGTGCCTTGCTGTGCGGTGATTGCCACACCGGGAACCGGGAGCCGCCACCCTGCAGGCCTCTTGCAGGCCCAGGCCCGGCCACCGGGCCTCGTGTGGCTCCCCGAGGCTGACCGAGGCCATGGCCTCACTGCTGTTCCTCCTCAGTGACCATCACGCCCGTGACCACGTGGCTTCCTTCTCACATGCCTTTCGCTGCACTGTCCGGTTGCGGATACTGCGACCTGATGCAGGTGCAGACAGGACAGTCACCCATGAGCAGACGGTACACCTAGGGCGTCACCAGATGTGGGACACAACAGTCCACGTGCTTTCTCTTCCTTGTGGTTTTCTTAATTACACTTTTCCCAGTTCACCTTCTTATAAAAAGAATTGGAGGATTAAATGAGAAAATGGCTTTGAAAGTACCTGGTTAACCTGGGCCCTGAAACACATGTAATATTTTTATATGATTTCAATTAAAGTGCAAACATTTTACGTGTTAAAGAAAAAACATTAATTGCCATTTTAAAGTAAGATAATTATAGGAGATTTAAAACTTGTGTCTTGTTGTTTTAAACTGAATTCTTTCATCAGTTCCTTCTTTGTGTAACGTAAGTGACATCTGTCCATCTGGGACCCGTAGGAGTGTGGGAGGCATCTGATGGGATGAGCCCTCCAGCTCCTCACCTGCCCCCAGGCTGCGTCTGAAGGTCACCTGACCGTCACCACACAGGAGCGCCAGCTTTCACACGTGGAGCCAGGTGGGTCGGGGCATGGACCAGCTTGTCCAGATCAAGAAAAGGGAGAGAAAGCGCTCAAGACTGGTTTCTTTTTGTTTCAGATTTATGTCCAAGTCTGTCGCTTTCCCAGAAATACCATTTCTATGAGCCAACAGCCTACACACGGCTCTTCAGGTGACCCTAAGCCCAGCGAGGAGGCCCCCCAGCCTCCGGCAGTCTGCTTCCTCGGTTTCCCCTTCCACCTTCGCTGATGCAGTCCCACAGGAGCTTGGCCCAAAGACGGACAGCTTTGTTTTCTCTGCCATGATAATAAACACACAGTTATGAAATAACGTAAATGTGCATATAAAAACATCCAGGAAAGCCAACCACAACAGTGGCCCAGCCAAGCTCAGCAGATCAGCCACGACCCTGAGAATCCAAGTGTAGAACTCGGTCCCCAGAGGCGGGTTCAAGCAATGCTTAAACAAACACGCAAACCTTAAAAAAAACTTTATGCACAAAATTCAATTGCAATTTTGTGTTTTTTCTTTTGAAATAATTTTAGACTTACAGATAATTTGCAAAAATAATACATAGATTTCCCACACACCTTTCACCCTTGCTCTAATGTTACTCTTATGTAATCATACTATAATTTTCAAAACTGCTCATTAAACCGCAACTTTATTTGGATTTCATGTCTCTCCATCAATGTCCTCAATATGCGTTCTGATGCCACAATTAAATCCCAGGCCCAGGATCTAGGAGAAGGTCCCTGTGTGCTCAGCTGTGTCCTCTTGGTCTTGCCCGCAGCTGACGGTCCTCAGTCTAGTGCATGTCATGTGAGACCCCCCTGGATGGTGCTGGCAGGTACTTTGCAGGCTGCCCCTCAATATCTCATAGGGATGACATCACACTAGCCATTTGACTAAAGTGCCATCTACTGAGTTCTCCATCCTCAGGTCACTACTTTTTCCTGTGTAATCAATAATCGTCTTGCAGAGATACTCTGATGCTACATATAATCCTTTGACCATGAATTTTGCATCCACAGTGGATCTTGCCACCAAGAACTATTACTGTAGGGTTCGAATAAAAGTTTAATATTTTCCTGATTCTTTTTACATTTACTCTCTGTACTTCTGTGAGGAAGAGCTGCTTTCTCCCCACTTATTTATTGATTCAACTAGAGGCCTGGTGCACAAAAGTTTGTGCACTTGGGGGGTGGGGGAGAGGTCCCTCAGCCTGACCTGCTCCCTCTCACAGTCTGGGACCCCTCAGGAGATGTCCTACTGACAGCTTAGGCCCACTCACCACGGGGAGTGGGCCTAAGCTGCAGTCAGACATCCGTAGCGCTTCCGAGAAGGTGGGAGAGGCTCCCGCCACTGCCACTGCGCTCGCAGCCATCAGCCCCGCTTGTGGCTGAATGGAGCTCCCCCTGTGGGAGTACACTGACCACCAGGGGGCAGCTCCTAGGTTGAGCGTCTGCCCCCTGGTGGTCAGTGTGTGTCATAGCGACTTGTCCCACCATTAGGGTCAATTTGCCCATTACCCTTTTATTATATAGGACTATTTATATCAGGGTTAACTCATGTATGTTTATGTTATCTATATATATATAAAAGCCTAAGTGACCGAACGACCGAATGACCGGTTGATCAGTTGCTATGATGTGCACTGACCACCAGGGGGCAGATGCTCAATGCAGGAGCTGCCCTCTGGTGGTCAGTGTGCTCCCACAGCGGGAGTGCTGCTCAGCTGACTGACAGGTGCCAGACACAGGGCTCACAGCTGGCTGCTGCAGCCTGGAGACCCCAGCAGAGTGGTAGCGAGCCTACCAAGCAGCAGCGGCAGGTGCAGCAGGGCTGGGATGAGCAGGAGTGGCAGGCGGCATTGGACTGCCAGTTTGGGTCTAATCCCTGTAGGTTACACCGAGGGGCCCCACCAGTGCACGAATCTGTGCACCATGCCTCTAGTTTTATTATAAAATAGAATTTTTATTATTTATTTTGTTGACCAAATGATTCCAGCTCTGGGCATTGGGAGCTCTCTCAGGTGGGCCCCTTTCCACGTCTCCACACCCTTTGTGAGCACTTCCCTGGTTTCTGGCAACACATGTTCTCCAAGGTGCCCTGGTTCCTTCTTACTGGCATTTAGATGGCATCTCAATACCTCAGTGGTATTTAGGAACCAGATTGGGGGCTGGGTGAGCTCATAGCCTCTGGGGTGCTATTGCTCCTGGGCCCTCCCAGCGGCTGGAGCAGAAATGTATTTGTGGGCTCACCCATGCGCACACTTCCTGCGTCTGCCTACCTTTGTACTTACTTTTGAAACCATGAGTTCACGTTGCTGTCATTCTAATTGCTTTCTCTGATCATGGGAATCATGGACTTCCTTCTCTGAGGTGTGTTTTCTGTTTGTTCAACCCCAGTTGAACTCCAGTCTGGGTTTTTCTTCTTGTTCTATGTCACTTTTATGTTCTTTGATACTGTTTAAAATAATGTTTTTTTGCAGGGTGGCTCTCCAAAGACTGGCGGTCAATTTCGTGGAAAACTGCTCTTTGGAGGTGAGTGCTAACATCCCAGCCCCTCAGCTGTTTGTTTGAGCTGTAGAGGCACAGACGCTGTGTGAGTGGCCAGGTTTCAGAGTGGTGCCCAATCCAGCTCCAGAGCATCCGAGTCAGACCCAGCCCACCTTCTCCTGCCGGCACCAGACATGTCTGTGGTGCCGCGTGCACTGTGATCTGTGGTGCATTTTGTTAGTGCTGCCTGGATGGCCCACGAGTCATGTCACCTCTGCAGCTTCGCATTCGCACGGCACTGGAGGGGAAAATGCCAGGGAGAGAGTGCCAGGCGGGCCCAGTTTTCTCGGGTCCTAAGGAGAGAAATGTGTTTCGTGAAGACGGTTTCAGATCTGCAGGACCCTGTGGGGCTTATCCAGGGTCTGTTGGTCCCAAGGGATCCCTTTCAACTCCACAGCTCCCATGTTGTGCTGGTTGCCACCAAGCCCTCAAGCAGCTGTCACGTGACCTTCCCTGGTTGTGTGGACGTGCCCCTCTTGTTGTGGGGGTGCTCTTGTCCAGGGGTTTTCTGAGGCCTCCAGTGGTGGCCACAGCAGTGGTGTCGGGGGGGAGGCGGGATGAACGTAGGGTGGCATGGAAACACTCAGACCCTCGGTTTTTGGTTTTTGGTTTTCCCCCGAGGTTTACTAGTTTTCCTGAAGAAATGCTTTTCAGCTTGTTGTGTACCTTTGGTTAGTGTTTAGAGCTCAGAAATGGTTAGTGGCTATTTTTCACAGTTTTTACAAGCTTTTTACATTGTTTTTTGGAGAGAGAATTGCTGAGCTCCTTACTTTGCCTTTCTGTTACTCACTAGCCATCACAATATTTTTCCTTTCCTTGCCCTAAAATAGATATTTCACTGAAGGCTGACTGTGAGTTAAGAGTCTGGAAATTCTTAAGTCATCATGTTTGCTTTACAAAACGATTCCTTTGCCACTTGTATTTATTCAACTTGGGAAACAGGTTGTGGGGCTGGGAGAAAACGCTGACTCGTATTCATCCCAGTTAAATGGGATCATGTTAGACTTGCTTTGCTCTAGTTTGTGAAGACATTTAGATACCGATCTGTCATTTTACATATTTGTAATCCCTGAAAAATTTGCTTAATCTGAGAATAGTATCATGAAAACCTTTATAGTGAAACTCAACATGCTAATGACAATTTTGAGTAGGAACAGGCCCAGAAAGGCCAATCTTCATTCTAATTTTCCACAACATTGACCTGTAACGTCACATATCTCAGATTGTGTGTTTTACAAGGCCCCCAATTTAGCTTCAGTGAAATTAAAGCAATGATTTGTTTGTTTGTTTGGTTTGGTTTTTTTAAATGGGTTTTTTTTGTTTGTTTTTTTGTATATTTTTATTATTGATTTTTTTACAGAGAGAAAGGGACAGAGATAGAGAGTTAGAAACATCGATGAGAGAGAAACATCGATGAGCTGCCTCCTGCACACTCCCTACTGGGTATGTGTCTGCAACCAAGGTACATGCCCTTGACCGGAATCGAACCTGGGACCCTTCAGTTCGCAGGCCGATGCTCTATCCACTGAGCCAAACCGGTTAGGGCAGTGGTCGGCAAACTGCAGCTCGGCAAACTGTGGCTCGCAAGCCACATGCGGCTCTTTGGCCCCTTGAGTGTGGCTTTTCCACAAAATACCGACTTCTGCGCATGGGCCACGAAGTTTCAATCGCACTGTACGTGCGTGCCCGCACGTGGCATTTTGTGGTATTTTGTGGAAGAGCCACACTCAAGGGGCCAAGGAGCCACATGTGGCTCTCGAGCCGCAGTTTGCCAACCACGGTGTTAGGGCAGCAATGATGTTTTATTGATTGTACATAGAATTGTTTGATTAGTAGCTTAGAGAGAATCGAGCCCAACACAGAGCTGACTGTCAGATCGATTATGGAATTCATTTCATGGAGTCTCTCTAAATTATTCTACTCGTGGACAGGCTCAGGGGGTGAGCCGTGACGAGCTGTCACTGCCCATTGCTCCCCTGACTGCAAGTCCCATGGGGCCCCTTAGAGGTCAGGAGATGCATGCCTGTGGGAGAAGGAGAGGGGGCAGGGAGGGGCCGGAGCAGGGTGGGTCCTCCTAGGAGAGAGAGCTCCTGCTGGGACATGGAGGGTAGTGAGGGTGAGGGCTTTAAAGGCTGGGAGTTGTCGAGGTCTTAGGGAAGATCTCAATAGTCATCATCTTTCCAGGTGTGCTTTTCAGGGTCACGGTCCCCACTGATGGGTCAGCACCAGGACAGGGCTTGTTAATCATTGGAGCTGGTTCTGGTCACCAGCCTGGTTTTGCTGCTTCTCTGGGCCTGGCCCTGAAAGAGAACTGGGGCCTAGATGTTATCTCCAGAGAGGAAAGGTCCAAACCGCATGACCAACAACGTGCCAGAGGAGGAGAGGCCACCTTGGGGGCGAGGCCCGGCACCTGCTTTGCCCGTTGCTAGGCACCTGGTGACCTTATGCACCTGCTGTAAACTGCTTGGCCAGTTTGTGCGGCTCTGTCTCAGTTTCCCCATCCCACCTGCCAAGACATTTTCCCGGCTTCTTACTGTCCTGCCTCATAGTGACTCCTTTTTCTGGGTCAAACATTGTTCCAGGCATTGCCCGGGCAACACATCCAACCTATGAAGTGGATATTATTGTTTTTTCTTTTCACCAGAAGAGAATTGAAGCTCAGAATCACACGTCTAAGCTCTGAAACACGTGCCTGGGAAGGGGGCTTGCAGATCCTTCCCCAGATATGCCGTTTCCAAACACGCCTGGGAGCACGTTTCTCTCGGGGCCGGAGCCCTCTGCCCAGACGGCGTTTGGGCCACTTTATTGCAGTAGAAACACGTGAGGCCTTTGTCAGATCAAAATGCCAAAATAGAAGGTGTGTCTGTTTTCCTGTCACACCGCATTCAGAATCCATGACTCAGGACTGGCACAGGGAACAGCCCCAGGCAGCTAGCTCCCAGACCAGGGAGGGTTTGTTTTGCTGCAGCTGGCAGCCTGGCTGACCAGGGCCTGTAGGAATGCAACACCCCAAAAAAGGACCCTTGCATTTTGGAGAATTTTGTTTACATGACACTAAGCCCCAAATGACCTTAAATTCTAAATAAAAGTTCCATGGGCAATTTGTATGAGAAGCCTGTTTTTAAAGGAAAATAAATTATATGACAGTTTCATTATATGTATTACAAACTAGACTAGTGAACATTTTAGTCAACATTTAAAAATACTTAATTAGGACCTTTCAGTACATGAAGCTTACATAACAAAATCTAGCAGGAATCTATAAAATCTAAACACACGTCCAAGAGAAAGGGTGGTGCCCCGGGAATGTGCAGGCCTGGCTTTCAGGGCTCAGCTGTGGGACGTGACTAGTCTCTCCACGTGTCTCCCGGTTCCTCCACGAAGTCTCTGCTCACGGGAACTTCCACGACTTGCTGGGCGGTCTGCGTCCTCTGGCACTTGGCGAGTGGCATCTGCTTAGCATAAGGTGACAATAAAGACAAGGTCATGACACGTTCTCAGCACCAGTCCCAGGGCTGCGTAGTGTTAGCCCGGCGCTGCGCCCCTGCCGCCCTGGCAGGTCCTGATTCCGGCGCAATGGCACCCCCTCTTGTCGGGAACAAGAGCAATTCGGCCGCAGTGGCACCCCCAGCCATCCACGTGGGGACTGAGACAGCGGTGTTTATTCGAGGGGGTCACTGCACTTTCTGTAGTGGGGGTGCCTGTCCTTTGGGTAGAGTTTCCAGGTGGCGCGAATGGGAACACATGTGAGCCTCATGGGCTGTGTGAACAGAGGTGCGGATGTCTGTCTGCGCAAGCATCAGGCCTCCATCTTTTCGGAAGACAGTTTGGCTCTCGTTGTTCTGAGGTTGCAGTAAAAGGCTCCAGTAGTGAGGCTGTGACGCAGGTGTGTCCTTTGGTGTCAGCATGTCTTCCACCTGCACACAGATATTTATAAATTGCAGGGGCAGGATGTGCTGGGAAGGACTCTCTGGCACTGTCTCCATCCACGGTGCATATCCTCCGTGGTGCCCTTGTCCCAGAGGCTTGAGAAAGGAAGAGAGAGTCAGGTCTGACAAGTACAGAAGTGCCCTGGTTCCAATGGAGTCAACCTGGGTTAGAAGCATAGCCCAGGCTCCAAGTACCATGTTTGTTCTTTGCCTGGATGGTTTGTGCGTGTGTGTGCACAAGCTCATGTGTGCGCACATATATGTGCACACGAGCACACACATTTGTGGACATGGGTGTGTGCATGCACCTGCACACATGTGTACACATGACTTTTGTACACGTGATGCTTGTGTGTCCACATGTGTGTGCATGCATGTATGTGTGGCACATTTGCTTATTTTAGCATCCAGAAATCTGACAAGAGTCTTGCCTACATTTTTTATGAGAGCATAAATTCATTTTAATTTCTTGTCATGGATATTTTGTGCAGCTATCTGGGTCATTCCTTCCGAGTGAGGGTTTAATTGCTTCACATCTGGGATATTTCAAGTTTATCCTTCTTGGAATCCATGTCGTGAATGGAAAGTACCGACTTCTGCGCATGGGCCACGAAGTTTCAATCGCACTGTACATGTGCGCCCGCACGTGGTATTTTGTGGAAGAGCCACACTCAAGGGGCCAAAGAGCCGCATGTGGCTTGCGAGCCACAGTTTGCCGACCACTGGTTTAGGGGCTTTCTTGGGGTCATTTGATGGGAGTCGGTCAGTGTGCTGAAGATTTCCCCGATATTAGAAGGTGGTGTCTTTGTTCCAGTCGATTTCCTTTCTCTAGAGAACATCTCTCCTCCCCTCTTTGGAAGGCCCAGGCTTGGTTGTGCAGGGAGAGTTGAGGTGGGGAGTGAGGCTGATCCACGATGCGCTGTTGGTTCTCCAGGTACCTCGCTACCGCGTGTGCCCCAGGAGGCTCCACACTGGCTTCCTTAACTGTTGTGTTAGTTTCAGGTCACCTTTCACCTCCCGCTGGTCGCTGTCCCTGGTGACAGTCATACAAGCAAACCCCTTTCTCCCTAATGACCTATGATGTTATCTTTTCATGTAGTTATTGGTCATCTGTGGATCTTTTTTAAAAATATGTATTTTATTTTTTTTTACAGAGAGGAAGGGAGAGGGACAGAGAGTTAGAAACATCGATGAGAGAGAAACATCGATCAGGTGTTTCCTGCACACCTCCTACTGGGGATGTGCCCACAACCAAGGCACATGCCCTTCACCGGGATCGAACCTGGGGCCTTTTGGTCTGCAGGGTGACACTCTATCCACCGAGCCAAACCAGTTAGGACCATCTGTGGATCTTTGTACATCTTTGGTGAGGTATCTGTTCAGATCTTCTGCCCATTTTGAATTGGATGTTTTCTTACCATCATTTTAAGAGTTCTGTGTATATTTTGGATACAAATTCTTTATCACATGTTGTGCAAATATTTTCTCCCAGTCTGTGGCTTGCCCTTTTATTTTTTAAATAGTATTTCCAGAATAGAAGTGTTTAATTGTAATTTTAGATTTAAATAAATCATAAAATCTTTAAGTTTGGAAAATATCCCAGTGTTAGAGCCCTGAACTATGAAAACTGAATTATAATTCTAAAGTGCTTGGGTTTTCATTCAGAAAAACATATTCTCTGGGTACTAAGAATGAGACATTTCATTTGGAGTCTTTATGTAGCAGGCGGTGTGATATTAGCATAATAGACACTATTGCAAATATCATGTGGCCTTTTCTTTTGTCTCAAAACCAAGATCAACCATGTGTAACTGGAACTTCATCGAGTACCGGCTGGGGTTTGTCAGCTTAAAACCCAAGGCAGGTCCAGAGGGAAGGGACGCACAGTGGAGGCAGCCTCTGTCCAATCTCATTATCAGGAGGTTCTGTCTGTGAGGCGACTTGTGTCCCCTCCGACGTGCTCCCATGTGTGTGTCTTTACCCACTGGAGCCACAGGTAAGTGTCCACACGCCTTTCTTACGTGACTTCATGCCACACCTTTGCACAGCCACGTGCCCGCAGGAAGGTCATTATTTTGTGCTTCTGAAAAGTCAAATACTCAATTGTATTATCAAGCATCCATTTTAGGCAGGAAAGTGTTGAAATCAGATTCAAACTAAAAGTTTGGTGTGTTGATGTGCAGCTGTTTTAGAGTTTGACTGTAGTATTCAACACCACCAGTGACAGGTGGGGATCATACACGGAAAATGAATAATCGGTGTTTGTAAAATGGAAATGTCATCATCGCTTCTGGATACTACAGTAAACAGGACTCCTAGGCAGCAAGGCCTGGGAGGGAACAGTCGCCTCCAAATTTCCTCTGCATTTATCATGAGGGAAAAGTTCCATATCCTCACACAAATCAAGATTTGATTTACTACTCGGACTTGCCAAAGGCCCACACAGCTTGGAGAGCAGCCAGAGCATGAAGTGGGAAAAGCATATTTATTTATTGTCCTGGGAATCTCTTCTGACCGGGATGGGTTCCCATCCTTGTGAGGCAGTAAATTATATACTGTGGCTGCTTTAATGCAAAACAAGTTGCTTATTTCTGCATCGCAGTTTGATGATTTTTAGAGTATGGATTCCACTGGCTCTGGGCAAAAGAAAAGGGCTCAGTGGAAGAGGAGAGAGAAATGACAAAAACGGTGTGAAAGTGCTGACAAGCGAGACCCATCCCGGTGCTCTGAGCAGCAGGGCCTGGGGCTGAGCCTGGGCAAAGCAGGAGGACCAGCGGCTCCCAAATCCCAGGGGTGGAGAGCCTGACCCCCAACTCCTGGCATGGCCTCAGGGTGGCTGGGAAAGGTGTAAGGAGAAGCTGCTTACAAAGGAGGGAGCAAGGTTAGGGGCAGGGCCACACTCAGGTCAGGAGGGAGGAGAGGGAGGCAGAACAGGCAGGGAGTGTAGTCCTTCCTACGGCCAGCCTGTGGAAGCCAGAGCTGGGTGCCCTCTCTTGGCTTCCGGCTTCCTGCTTGGGCCTCCCCAGGTCACTCCCTGGGAATCAAGGATGATCACACAGTCTGGGGGCACAGAGTGTGTGTGTGTGTGTGTGTGTGTGTGTGTGTGTGTGTGTGTGGTGGGGGAGAGGGCCTGGCAGGTGCGGGGATAGTCACACACCTCCTAACAGAGGCTCCCTGCTGGCCAGGCAGGGCTCAGTGTCCTGGTTCCACCAGCAGAGGGCGCCCTGCTGGCCAGTCGCTTACGCAGATTGTTACCATAACAAACACATCTGTGGGCTCCCATCAGCCCTCAGCCTTCTAGTTTATAACCCTTGATCAGTCTGGTTCAAATTCCCCCCACTTCTCAAAACCAAAGTTCTGAATGAAGGCAAATATGTTTGGTCACCCCTCTGGGCATAGGCCAGGCTGATCCCACCTCCCCATCATCACCCTGGAGAGTGTTCTGGTGGAGATGCTGCATGTGGTCAAAGTGTGGCTCAGTCCTCCCCCATGGGGCCCTCATGGACCAGGCAGCTCCCGGGATGTTAGCCGCCTCAGCATAAACGTCATCGATTCCTACATTACCACCCACTGTCTTACATTCCAAGTTTCTCTGTCCCTTCCAGCTCTGTGAGGCCCCATGGAGCAAGACACCGTGTCCCACGTTGTCTGTGTCCCCGACCCAGACAGACTCCGGAGTCAGACACTCTGGAAAGGCGTCCCCATGCCCCGCCCCACAGCTGCTATCAGCCTCCAGGGAGCTTGCCAGCCCTCAGAGCTTAATGGAATAAGTACACTTCTGTCTTAGTGTTGTTGTGAAAGGCACACAGGTAATGAGGTGAAAGCACCTAGCACATGACTTGACACATTAAATTTTCAGTGAATGGTAGCTATTGGTATAGGTGAAGAAATGAATGAAAGATTTAATAATTCCACCAAATCAAGATTATGAGGACCTTGTACAGGCAAGATTGAAATTTAAGTATCACTGATAATATAGTATCAAGATTTCTTTTTTTGAAAGTAGGTTTTTATTGACTGCCGGGGTCCAACCCCAGCAGGTCCAGGGGTTCCCCAAAGGTGTGGACGGAGTCGGCGAAGAAGGAATGACACGGAGACAGCGTTCAGTTGATCAGCAGCCTAGCCAGGATCTCTAGCCAAGTTCTGGTCTGGATCTCCAGCGAAGTTCTGCTCAGGATCTCCAGCCAGGTTCTGTGTCCATATTCTCTTGCTAGGTTCTCCAGGTTCTCCAGCCAGGTTCTGTAGCCATGTTCCCTCGCTAGGTTCTCCAGCCAGGTTCTGTCCAGGTTCTCCAGCCAGGTTCAGTTACCAGGTTCTAGTCAGGTTCTCTTGCCAATTTCTGTAGTCAGGTTCAGTCCAGGATCTTTTGCCATGTTCTCTCGCTAGGTTCTGTCTCTAGGTTCTGAGGCCAGTTTCTGTCCAGGAACTTTTGCCATGTTCTCTCCAGCGAAGTTCTTCTGTCTCTAGAGAACGTTCTGTGTAGGTTCTGTGCCTAGGTTCCGTCTCTCTTGGTTCTGTATTCTAAGTTCTGTGTCTTGCTGTCTTATTACATCTGTATTTATACCAGTTGATTCAATCCTATCAATCTCTATTACAAAGGTTAGGGTGTTTCTTATCTCCATTCCAGGGAGTAAAGATTATGTAGCTTAAGCACGATTGTTCGTAGTTAAAGTGATTAATTACCCACCTGGCACTTAGTTAAGAGGTTTTATTCCCTCCCTAACTTCAGGGGAAAATCCCTACCTGGGGAAACAACCTTTCTCAGAGAGGAGACCTTGGTTAAAACACATAGTGCCAAGAAGGTGAGCAAACATATTAAGAACAGTATGCCATATATGCCAGGTCCTTTGAAACAGCAAGGATGGACCAGCTCCCGGCAATTGACTTCAGAGAGAGGATGGGGGAGAGAAAGAGAGAAACATCCATGAGAAATATCAGTCGGCTGCCTCCTGCGTGCTTCCTGCTGGGGAACCTGCAACCTGGCACCTGCCCTGAAGGGGAATGGCATCCTGACTTCCTGGTTCATGGGACAATGCTCAACCACTGAGCCACGAGCCGGGCTCAAGATTTCTTTTAAAATATTTGCTACAAAATAACGTTTTGAACTTGGGAACCTACAGACAGACAGACAGACACACACACACACACACACACACACACACACACACACACACACAGTAAATGAAGCTGTCAAGGACTGTGGTGCAGTGAGAATTTCAAATATTGATTAATAAACTGCACTGTGTTATGTGCGATCCTTCGGCCTATCTACTCTGGGCAAAAATAGAACAATTTCCAGGAAGCCCACTAGATGTAGCTACTGAGTAAGCTTGCTGTGCAGTGAGTATAAACTGGTGTTTGTCTTTAAGGAAGATTTATCCTGCAATGATAGGAAAACTCCTGCTTTTGGACTTATTTTTGCAATAAATAGGACATAAAGAACTTGATAACACTAGAAATAGAGCTGAGAAGACTAATGTACATAACATCCAAATTCTGATTATTATTCAGAAGAAGAATTCTATAAAACCAGAAAGCCATAAAGGAACAGATCGGTTTTTATTCAACATCACCCAGAAGATCCAAGTTCACAGAGAAGCAGAGTGTGCCTTGCAGTTCAGAATTGCCAACTTGCTCCTTCTGAAGCTTCAATACCCAGCTCAAATGTTTTTTTCAAAATCCTCCTACCCATTTTTTCTTATGTCCTCATCTACCTGCAAAAAATGCTTGCAAATTTGATCTGGCTGTGTGCCCAGGAAGAGAACATGACTTCAAGTAATTTAATGTCATCTGTTAAGTTTTTCTTATAGGATAGTGGCGTAGTTGAGAGTTCTCTGAAGTGGGACTGCCTAAGGGGGTTAAACTTCTCGGATTGCCTCTTCTTATCCATGTGGCCTTGAGCCAGTTACTGACCTGGCCTCCGCCTCGGTTTTCATTAACAGTAGCGGGCATTTCCCAGTGTTTTACTTTTCCACTCACTTATTCTGTGAGGTCAGGGCCATTATCAGCCCTAACTTCCTGTGCCCCTGGATTCTAGGCAAGCGAAGGACAGATGTGAGTGCTCAGTGCTTCTCATCACTGCTGTGCTGCCCGGGGATGGGTCTCCTCAGGGAGCCGCAGAAGGAAATGGAATCGCTCGCGTTGGGTATGAAGCCAAGTGCCCAGCTCTACCGTGAGCTTTCAGTGATCTGCTGCTGCTGATGATGATTGAGGCTTTGGTTTTAATCAAACATTTTAAAAATAAGAAGACCTTCTAGGAACCCAGAACTGGCTAAAATAGTTGAATTTTTAAAATGTTCACGATGAACTTATATTTTATCATAATAGACAACTGCGAATGCGCATGCCTCTCGGTCACAAGAATCTTTGTATGAAATCTTATTTTTGTCGTCATGCAGGAGCCTTAGGTCCACGCAGCTCACCCTTGGTTTGGACCAGCTTCATCAGAATAGCTGCTCCTCTCCCGTTGCCCAATCCTGTGATGTCCCATTTTAATCATGGTGCAAAACAGCAAGAAAGTTCCGGGACGTTCTTCAAAGGAAGCTGTCGATGTTGACACTTGATAAATTATATATTTCTGCTAAAAACAAAATAAGGGAGTTTAAATGTGTGCTGGGCTTCTTGCTCACAATGCAATCATGGATATTGCCCAACAGGGACGGAAGTCAGGTGCTCACAGAATGTGACTCACTCTAATGTCTTACTTCACTTCATATGAAAATTGCCTATTCTCCAAAAGAGATTTTTTTTCTAAATTCAATAAACACTTCTCTTTACACTTTGCAGGGCCTGTGGCCCAACCCTTTTTATTCTGTGATCACTTACGTGGCCGGCCTCTGAGCATCTTTTCGGAGGCCGATTACTCCCCCTAGAATTGCCCCAAGTCCTGGAAAGCATCACAGCCCCAGGAAAGCAGTGTCTTCAGGGACGTGGGTGTAACTCCTACTGACTTTTTCCAAGAATTAAACCTGTGAAACTAAAGGCAGAAGGAGTCACTGTCCCTGCAGCAATTTTTATCAGAATTGGTAATAGCAATAAAATATTCTTCTGGGCTAATGTAGCATTTCAGAGCAATTTGCATTGAAGAGTTTATCAAAACTGTGAAATCTCTTTCTCTGAATTTAGGTCTTCTCACCCTAATGAGTGTTGAAACTGATATCCACTTGGCAGACATATACATGCTCAATGTACTTAATCATTTACCCGTTTTATTCATCTTCATTTTCCTGCAATACAGTCTGTAACATGAGTGAGATTCTTAAATATTTGTGTAATTAAAAACATATATGCAGTGGACATGTGAGAGGCTGCAAACCTTAAGAAATATATTTAGTAACTTCAATTAAATCCTCAAAATATACCATGAACTCTGACAGCCTCAGGCCTCAGCACTTTGCAGCTGTGAGGTAAATGTTTTTGGTTTGACATGTTAAAGAAACAACAGACCCAAAATGGAGTCACTTTTGTTAAGTCCCACCAAGAATAATAACTAAACTAATTGCAGTTCAGCTTCTCCCAGGAATGGAATTTTAAAGCAATGTTGAACTAATTCAAAGAGTCTGGAGGCTGTGCTAGAAATACATGTTAAAGATTTATTCAAGAATCTTAGAGTTTGCGAACCTGGAACACAGCTGGGCAAAAACCTAGAAGTGTTCTGAAAAGATGGAAAAGTTAAGAGTTCTTACAGTTCAAAGTCCGTTCTTGAGAATAATCCTGCTTTCTCAGCCCTAGCCCTGGTCCAGGAGGCTCATCAGTCAGATGTCAGGGGGCTGATGATAGATGTCAGGGCATCTGGTCACATCCTGTAGTCGGGGAGATGGCTATCGAGTGGCCTCACATAGTCTGGATGCTAGTCCTGCAGGCTGAGCTGAGGTTATCTGGAGATCTGACCCAATTCCAGGTGTACATTTGGGCACTGATACAGGACCGGAAATTTCCAAAAGCTTAGTTTCCCAGGGTACGTACTATTAGGGTCGTTCCTTGTGTCTCCAACCTCATGATGTTAATAATTCCAGCAGCTTGGTTAAAGTGACTCTATTTTATGTACTCCACATCCTCACTCTTCTCTCACCAGTTAGGAATTTCCTGGTCAGCACTAGGAAGCTAATCTGTGTGATAAGACCCCTGACTTCCCCTAAGTGAAGGTCACATTGTCTGAAAAATTCACTCTTTTAACATCTTTGTCCCACTCCCTTTTTGCCTATAAGAAACTGCATCTTGTCCCACTCTTTGGAGTGACCTGGTTGTCAAATGGGAAGCTGTCTGATTCATGAAGCGTTTAGTAAAGTCAATTCGATCTTTAAGTTTACTTGGTTGAATTTTTTTTTTTTTTTTAGCAGACTTCATATGAGTATTTAACCTACGTGTGCAGGTGACAAGTGCCTTTAATTTGTATGTCTTTTCTCTAATTATACATATAAAAAGCCAGAGACCGTAACACTGTAATGACCAGAACAACTGGTCACTTTGACACCCACTGAGGCCAGCGAACCGGCTGGATCAGGGGTGGGGATGGCTGGCCAACACCCCCCCCCCATGGCCCTTCCCCCTGGCCAGCCCCGCCCCCGATCTGCCTGCCCCACCCAGATCAGCCACCAGCCCTGCCCCCCAGCCGCCCCACCCCTAATCGTCCTCCCCACTCCAATAGGGACTGGGGCTGGCTGGCTTGCCAACCTCCTGCAGCCCCTCCCCCTGCCTGGCCCTGCCCCTGGTGGGCCCCCACTATTGGCCCACAGCCCCTCCCCCACAGGCCCCACCCCTGACCACCCCCCCCACCCCAATCAAGGGCAGGGGCAGCTGGTCAACCACCCATGGCCCCTCCCCCAAGCCGCTGGTTCCCAGTTGGCCCCCTCCACCCCATTTGGGGGCAGGGCCAGCCCACCCAGCCATCTCCTCCTTACAGGCCCAGCCCCAATCCACCCCAATTGGGGCCAGGCCCACCAGACTCCACCAGTGCATGAATTCATGCACTGGGCCTCTAGTATCTATATAAATTCTAATTCTCACCATTAAGAGTTTTGTGTGAAGAACACTCATTTCCAGAATGAACTGGTTCTTTCTCCTCTGTTATCACATTTCTCCACATAAGTGAGGAGATATCTCAATGCAGCCCCCGGGCCAAAGCCGCTGGATTTCCCAGGGAAATTCATCATTTCTGAATTACTAAGAATATGTTTGGATTGTCTAACAATCCCTAGTTAGTAGGGATTGTTGGTACAAACACTCCTCCCTGAGAGAGCGGGTGGGATCATGTGGTCTTCTCAAGGCTATGAGGACTTTGTTTAAAAACACCCCTGACCATCCCGAGATAGTGTTTCATTTATATTTTCAACACTTAACTTCATGAAATAATTTGATTTTACACATATTGGAAGTAAGTCAGGGAGTCAAGATTCTGTGAGTATATGAAATATTTAACCACAGAGGAACTAACCATCAGGATAGGCCCAGGATGGCAAGTGGCCCACGAGAAGAGATGCCATGCGTCACGACCAGGAGAGTGAGGGGGGACCGTGTGCCGTCCTGGAGAGCTGTCAGTGGAGAGAGATTCACAGGGGATGTCTCTGGAGTCATCACTTTCCAGCAGTGCCTCCCGTGCTGGAGTAACCTAGGGAGGACGTGCATACAGTAGACTCATGTCTACCTTATGAACCGAACAAGAACAACAAAACCCACAAAACTACTGGCCGACAAGCCAGGACACTGTTCCCGGACTTCCCTTTTCTACTGAGTTGGCTCTGGAACTCTGAGCAAACTCTAAACTCGGGGCCTCCTTTTCTGGGTTTGCGACACGTGGTGGTGAGACAGCGCACACAGCCTGTCTCTGCAGACCTGAGAGTGGACACGCCCCCCGGTTGTGAAAGTGTGGCTTTGGGAAGTACAGAGTTACCGAAGGTGAACTCACTTCCAGGCAGGGGAGAGTCTCCTGAGTCAGAGTTGTGAGTAACCTAAGCCTGTGGTGTGTAAACAAAAACATGCACAAGAGCATAACGCAATAGTCCCCGGAGCGCCTGAGACCACGGGTGGCTGTGCCACCACTCATTCACTGCCGGTCTCCCTGCCAATTTGTTAGAACATAGTTTTCTGATTAAAGCTGTGTTCCATTATCTGTCAGCTGCCAACCCATTTTAAAGTCAGCTTGTAAAGTTTTCAGTTCCTAGAGCACATTTTTCCCCTGTGAGAATGCATAAGACCTACAATCTGCAACCACAAGACCTATCATTTAAGATATTTACATTTATAAGACAGAAGGCATAATTCTTCATGAAAATACACCCCAGCGGGTCATTTTCTTTGAAAGGATTCCATTGGTCAGACAACATGTAACAATGTGGTTTCCGAACACTCAGGAAACGAAGTCAGCGCCAAGTCAACACGTTGAGGAACTTTAAGTCCAAACACTCAAGCATGTAAGGCAAGATATTTTTCACAAATGTGCCTGTGACTTCTCCAAATCCGGGGATAATGGTCCACTCTGAGCTACTTTGACACTAGTTCTCCAACGCAGCCTCTGGAGCCATTTTCTCTTGATCTCTCTGGCTTACTTTAAAATACAAACCAGCACCTGCCCCCATGTCACAAGGAGCTGCAACCCTCGGATCCCCAGGGAGGACATGGCATCCTGGGCTTCCCAGACTGCTCCCCTTAGACTTGTCGCCATCGCCATCAATGGTGACAAATAAACCTCACGAATGTAGGATGTTAATCACAGAAGAACCTGGATACAGGGTATACAAATCTCTGTGCTATCTTCACAATTGTCTGTAAGTCTAAAACTACTCTAAAATGGAAATTTTATTGAAAGTGTGTCACAGACACTCGTTGACTACATTATGTTTGTTTCAAAAGCACCTTTGGAGGTGACGTCACTGACTCCTGCAGCCTTGGCTGCCAAGGCTCAATCCCAGGGAGGGGCTTCCCGGCGTGCCCGCCTCCAACCTCCCAGGGCTGGAGCACCCACTGCTGTGCCCCAGATCGCGCTCCCCCCCACCACCTGAGGCACAGGGTGAGCCCCAGACACCTGGGCCCTAGTCAGCAGGTTGTCACTGTCGTACCTCAGACACTGGTGCCACCACCACTGCCATGGCTACTGTGTCTCAGCCCCTGGAGCCCAGCAGTTCCACCCTCCTGAGCCTAGGACTCAGGCCTGCCCCACTCTGAGGGCCTGTGTGCCGGACCCTGCCAGGGGAGTCCTGGGGCTGGAACTTACCCTGTGGGGAAAGCAAAGCAGGAACCCCAGCAGCCTTTGCCATTGAGGACCCCAGCTGATGGCCTCCCAGACGATAGCAATGTGCCCACCAGGACTGCACCCCACTGAGCCTGCACCCTCACTCACAGCCGCTGGAGGGGGTAATGGCTCCCTCACCCGCACACAGGCGAAGACCTTCATTTCCAGGGACCATGAGGACTAGAGACCAGCGGTGACCTTTGTGATGAGTCTGACCTGCTCTGATGACGGACCCTCACCCCTGTGCATCGTGAAGTCCAGCCATACCCTCCTGAGAACATCTATGCCTTTGCCCACATAAAGTCAGACACACTCCACGTGTCACACCAGGAGGGCCAGGGAGTTCATGTGGCTCCATGAGATGCAGAAATAGGATTACAGCCTGTGTGAGCTTACACCGTTGTCCCAGGGACCCCAGCGAGTGGCGCTGTCCTCCTGAGAAAGGGAGGGAGGGAGGGAGGGAGGGGCATGCATCTGCTTGGTGAATATTCCATCTGAGTCGCCCCGTGAACAATGGAGAGCCCACCTTCCTGGGTGTGACAGCAGGACTTTTGGGTTCATAAGAGCTCGTTCTAGCTCTCACCAGTACAGAAACCCAGAATGCAGTCTCATGTCAGCAGATGGATCACAAATGCCAAGCCTGAGGGACAAGGGGTGAGGCCTCTGCAAAATCAAATGTAGTTTGCAGGAGCCAGCGTTCACACCATGCAGGTGAGGCGTCTGATGTCATCTATCAATCCAAGTGTCTACTAACAGGTTGTTAGCAGAGTGAGACAAAGTACACATACTTCAGACCTGTGGTTAGAAGGGAAACCCTGTGGGATTAGGGTTACACGGCTGAGCTCTCTCCCAGGGCAGCTGCCCCACAGTCTCCAAGAGCACAGCTGCGGTGTCCCCCAAAACTCTGGTGGATGAGGGCTGAGCCTCTGTGAGCTTCACAGCCCCCCGCCCCTCCCAGAGCATCTGCGTCCTGCATGCTGACTTTGTTACACATGCATATGCATCTCTCTCTCTCTCTCTCTCTCACTCTCTCTCTCCCCCCCCCCCCACCCTCCCAGGGTTTAATGGGGAACTGTACTCCATACCAGAGCTCCCCTCTAGTACATTAGCAGCCTGGCTCTTCCCTTCCTCAGAGCAAAGTCTTTGGCTGAACCAAGTGAAATAAGGGCTCAGAATTCTACAGGCCTGGGTTTGGGCCCTGATTCACCACTTTAAAGCAACTCTGTGATTTCAGTTATAAAAACAAAAAACTCATGAAAATACCACTGTTATTTTTAGAGGACACATACTAAAAATAAATCAGTCACGCCTGGGGAAAGCAGTCCAAATTTTACCTTATGATTGATCACCAGGTTTTCAGTTGCACTGAAGACTAAGGCATGCTTCCATTGCTTCTGGGGCCACGATTCTATATGAAAACTTATTCCCAGTGCACACCATGGTTTACCAAGCAATGTATTGGGGATTTCACTTTAGAATAGAAAGTAGCCTAACACATGTGCATGTTAGTGGTTACTGTAAAGTCAGGCCTTGTAAACATGTTTAAATTCTTCTCTTTCATAAAGCTGTAGGCTCTTGTCTCTGAGGATGTGGTATTTCCTTACAGTTGTTCATAGAGAAGGCTTCATCTACACGTGGGAAATAAGCCGAAGAATTTATGTTTCCTTCTCTGTAATTAACAAAAGTATAAAATAACTCATTTGCTTCCTGAAGAAACTGTCATTATCACTGATAAAAGAGGGTTTGCCTTTTCTAAAGAATGGCAGATGTTAACGGCACTGAACAGCACAAGAACTTTCTAACTATTTTGGTATCAGATGAAGAATGTTAATTGCTGTTTTCTGGCTTAGGCTCCTCAGTCTATAAGATTTGATTGCAATTATATTTACATTTTTTGTTTGTTGTTCCCTCCTAATGAGTAGCCTTGAATTTCAGGGTCCTCCCCCAGGAGAACACCTCACTGTGTAACCTCAGCCCTGCTTCCTTCCCTGGCAACCTGTGTGCAATGGCTGAAGTCAACCAAGCTGTGGCTGCAAATGACCAATAAGCCGTGGCCCACTCTCCTGGAACCTCAATATCACACTTCACCTCACAACCTGCTACTGGGGACGTGTTCTGTTGACTTGGGTTTCCCACAGTCTCACTCTGGTGCCTCTCTCTGGCCTTGGCGCCCTGACATGATTTGGCTTGATCTTTCCGATGACTGTCCATTTAGCCGTGACCTGTCTGCTACCTCGAGCTCATGAACTTCACCTCCAGCCTTAACAGTATCTCTGCTCCCACCTCCCAGGCCCCCCCTGGAGCATCCAAGCCCTCAAGGCTCAACGGGAACATTTTCCTCTGCCTCCTCGCTGAGCAATCTTTCTTGCCTCAAGTCATAACTTCAAGTTGAACTTTAGTTCCTCAGTGCTTGGCATGCCTTCTACCACTCTGATCAATACCTCTTTGTATTTGAAGAGCATATTTTATATGCTCTTTATATTTTGCAATACGCTTCCATGTGTCTCTGTAAGGTAGGCATTCAGTGGTTTATATCTGTTCTGAAGACAGAACCAAAATCCCAAGAAGTTAAATGATTTCTTCAAAGGGGAAGATAAAGGAATAGACATAATGACCTAATTTTTTACTTCAGAAGAAAGGGTCATGCCCTGGCCGGTTTGGCTCGGTGGATAGAGCGTCTGCCTGTGGACTGAAGGGTCCCAGGTTCGATTCTAGTCAGGGGCATGTGCCTTGGTTGCGGGCACATCCCCAGTGGGGGGTGTGCAGGAGGCAGCTGATTGATGTTTCTGACTCTCTGTCCCTCTCCCTTCCTCTCTGTGAAAAATCAATAAAATACATTTGCCGGGAGCCGGTCCATCCTTGCTGTTTCAAGGGACCTGTCATATATGGCATACTGTTCTTAATATGTTTGCTCACCTTCTTGGCACTATGTGTTTTAACCAAGGTCACCTCTCTGAGAAAGGTTGTTTCCCCAGGTAGGGATTTTCCCCTGAAGTTAGGGAGGGAATAAAACCCCTTAACTAAGTGCCAGGTGGGTAATTAATCACTTTAACTACGAACAATCATGCTTAAGCTACATAATCTTTACTCCCTGGAATGGAGATAAGAAACGCCCTAACCTTTGGAATAGAGATTGATAGGATTGGAATCAACTGGTATAAATACAGATGTAACAAGACAACAGGACACAGAACCTAGACACAGAACCTAGACACAGAACCTAGACACAGAACCTACACAGAACCCAGAGACAGAAGAACTTCGCTGGAGAGAACATGCCAAAAGATCCTGCACAGAAACTGGAGACAGAACCTCGAGACAGAACCTAGAGACAGAACCTGGCTGAAGAACCTAGAGACAGAACCTGGCTACAGAACCTGGATAGAACATGGCAAGAGAACCTGACTAGAACCTGGTGACTGAACCTGGCTGGAGAACCTAGCCAGAACCTGGCTGAAGAACCTGGCTACAGAATCTGGTGACCGAACCTGACTGGAGAACCTGGAGAACCTGGCTGGAGAACCTAGCAAGAGAACATGGACACAGAACCTGGCTGGGGATCCTAAACAGAACTTGGCTGGAGATCCAGACCAGAAGAGGAAGGAAAGGCATTCCTTCTTTGCCGACTCCGTCCACACCTTTGGGGACCCCTGGACCTGCTGGGGTTGGATCCCAGCATATATTTAAAAAAAGAAAAAGAAAGGGTCAGAGGAGAGAGAAGATGCTGTTCTGTGGTTTTGGTGAGAGAGGAAGGACCCATAGCCAAGGGGAGTGGGTAACCTTTAGACAAGGGAAAGATCCACCAGGAGATTCTCCCAAGAGCCTTCTGGAGGAACACAGTCCTGGAGACTCATTGTAGATCTCTGACCTCCAGAACTAAGGTGATACATTTGCGCTAAGTCATATTTGTGGAAATTTGTCACAGCAACAATCGGAGACTAACACAGCTGTGTGTCCATATTTCCTGGTGTTTGTAATATAAACTGTGAACTTGGTGGCATTGCTGGGGGCTTGTCCCTGGAAGTCCCCACCAGCCTTGTGGAGTTTCTATGTGCTTACAGACGTTATATTTATTCATAATCTTCATATACATATACAGGCGATATATAACCTCTCTGGATCTATGTTAATAGAAAGAAAATGGGATGCATGCATATATTCTATCTTTCTATTAACATTAGAATTATAATGGGAACATTAAAAAAATAACGCTGCCATCCACCTCTGCGGTCCTTGGGGGAAAGGGCCGGCAGAGCAAAGAGGGGGCAGCAGACATAGGGCTCAGTCTCAGCTCCTGTCTGCTGACGGTCTGTTGGCCAAGGTGAGTCCATGACCTGTGAGACTGAAGGGGTAAGAGGATCACCTGTCCTTGACCCAAGGAAATGGGAGTCACTGGGAAGGTGTGGGAACAGCGGAAGGGTGGGAACGGTGAGACTGTGGGAGTGTGCCGCAGGTGCACCTTGCCCCCAGTGCACACTTGTTGTTTTCCTGGAAGTTAAGGTGGTGGATGGAGAAGGCTCCATGGGCATCACTCTGTCCTCATCTGACTGTAGACTGGGATACAGTTCTAATAACTGACGTGGCTCTTTCACAACCCATGGAAGCAGGTGCCCCGTCACCGACCCCTGAGGGCATCTCCGGACCCTAACAAATGGAGTTTTGAGGATGAAAACTAGTACCCGTCTGCTCACCTGGAATATTAAATGGGTTCGTTTAACAAATTTCCGACAGGCTTCCCTGAAGCTACTGCAGAGGAGAAGCATATTGTGGACGGAGGCCCTGGAAAAGGTGCCCACACCCTCCAGGCCTCAGCTGAGCAGAGGCTATGGGGGGAAGGGAAGGAGTCATCCCAGGCAGGAAAGGGCTGTGAGAGACTCTCACATGCTCCCTCACGCTCCCCACGAGACACTGAGGTAACTCTCGGTCCCAATGCAATATCATTGGGCCAATGACTGGCAGGTGACAGAGCCAGGCTTTGACCGCAGACCTCCTGGCTTTCCCACCAGAGCTGGGTCATCATCAGAACCTGCTGTGTGGGCCAGAACCTGGGCAAACACGTTCATGCTCCATGCCCCATCATTGTCTAGGTCTTTGAGAAAAAAACTATCTCAAAATCAATAAACATCCTCTTAAAGTACAAAATAAATTATTAAACTTTGCAATTTCCTCTAAAAGTATATCTTTGCACAGGTAATTTATTACTTGCCTTCCGGTTTAATTAGTATTCAGTTCTTAGTAACCGGTTTTGGGAACTTCCTCGTCCTTTGATTCGGGGGTGAAGTGATGTCCCTTGCGTGTGACACTCTTAGATACCCACTGTACCGCACGTCAATCACTGTCTTTCCCAGTAGCCCTTCGTGTCTTGGCACAGCCATGGACAAGATAATCCTGTTTCTTCAGGTTCCATAAATCTCACCTGCCCTCTCAGAACAAGTCCAGGTAGCACATGAAATGCCAGTAGATGATGTGAAACCACATTCATTGAAGATAAACGCTGGCACAAAGCCCCTAAAACTTTATAGAGAATTATAAGTCATAAACACCTGCCTGCAGTTTGACACCAATGTTTCCTTTCCTTCGGGTTAAAACGTCAGCATTTGAAGTATTAAGCTCAAGGTTAAGGGCTCTGGGCTCTGGTTAAGGAGAACAATTGTATCACTTGGTCATGTGACTAGCTTCCCTACAACATTCCTGAGGAATCTTGTGTCCGGCCTTGCTCCCACCTGGACTAGGCCAGCATTTCTCGGCCTACCCCTCTCAGCCCAAGCACCCGAGGCCTCCCACCCAGCAACATGGCCTGTTGGCTCCAGGAACCTTGACTCAGCGGCCCTTGAACCAGGAAGGCTCTACTCACTTTCTTGTTTCTGAAGTTCCAAGCTGCCGTAGAATGGTTATAGGAAAGAGAATGAAAACCTGGTGAGTGAAGGTGAGGCCTGAACAGAGAGGAAACTTGGAAGGCAGTTATCAAGTGAAACACTTTCTCATTGTTATGAAGATGGTGTTTATAAAGAGATATTGATCTGTTTTTCCAAAACTTTATGGAAATCAGTAAGAGGAAATAGGCTTGCATTAAAACAGGTTTAGGAGGCTGCAGAAAATGCTGATCTTCCAATAACTAGTATGGGCTACAATGGTGTCTCCCACTGTGGAATATATAGCCCCCGACATAGAGAATTTAACAAACATGTCTTTTTACAGTTGTGAGTGCACTAATAGCCTGTTCTTGCGCTACGATTTTTTAATATATATATTTTATTGATTTTTTTTTTTTTTTTTTTTTTTTTTTTTTTTTTTTTTTTTTTTTTACAGAGAGGAAGGGAGAGAGATAGAAAGTTAGAAACATTGATGAGAGAGAAACATCGATCAGCTGCCTCCTGCACATCTCCCACTGGGGATGTGCCCGCAACCCAGGTACATGCCCTTGACCGGAATCGAACCTGGGACCTTTCAGTCGCAGGCCGATGCTCTATCCACTGAGCCAAACCGGTTTCGGCGCGCTACAATTTAGTTGTATTCTTTTCCACATGAACAACTGTAAAGCTATGCTTGCCCACCCGTATCTACATCTCCTTTCCTTGACCTGAAGGACCACAGCCATCTTTCCCATGAGCTCCAATGAGTGGAGGTGGCTAGTTTGGATCTCAGGAGACTGGGCTTCTTGTACTTCATCCCTGACTATGGGGTTTGGCCTTATAGGGACTAAGGTCTCAAGGCCCCTGTGGCACAAACCTGCTGCTGTTTGATCGTCGGTGGTGGGGGGCCGGGGGGGAGCTTCCCTGAGTGAGCCAAACCTGGTTCTGTTTATTCTGCTGCTGCACCTGCTGACTCACCACCTTTGGTGCCCGCAGGCTCTCAGATGCTTTCAGAAACAACCAGGAGGAGCAGCAGCCACAGCCGGGAGAGGCCTGCCCCTCAGGAGCTGGCTTGAACACAAGAGAGAAGGTAGGCATTGCACGCCGGCAGATATTTCTAGTTCTATGTCCAGCTTTTAGAAATAATGGAATTTTGGAAATATTTTCTCTTACGCGTTTGGCATTCCTGGGCTGATCCACTTGTCTTGTGAGCCCGTGGTTTCCTGTTGCCTTGGTTACAGTAAAAACAGCAGCTTTTCCGGCCATTTGGTCAGGTTTCATCCAAATCCACGGACCTCGCCCTCTGAGTCCTGCTCAGGTCTGGGTCAGGGTCACGGCCGGACCTGACCCAGGTCCCTGTGGGTCCTGGGTTCTTTCCGCCCAACACAGACAGACTGAGTCTCTCCTACACACGTTCTCTTTCCTTTATGTCCATTTCTTTTCTGAAAATAAAGATCTGTGCGCAGGTATAGATTTAGGAAACTACAGTCAAGTTTCCAAACACCCTGAGGTCAACCTTAACAGTTCAAAGGACGTGAGACACCTGCCCTTTCCTCCCCCACCGCGGAGGTGCTGGCCTCCAGCGCTGACCCACGGCCCTCTGGAGGAAGGGGGGAGCCCGGACCTGGCAGCCAAGCCCTCCCAGCCCCAGGAGCACAGAGGGCTGGAGGCGTGGAGGGGCGGGGCGGGGCGGAGCGGGCGGAAGGTGCGGAGCTGGAGCTGTGGGAGGGAGGCGAGGGCTGGGCTGGGCGGGGCGGGGCGGGCGGAAGGTGAGCGGGCGGGACAGGTGCTGCGCCTCTACCAGGGGTAGGAAGACGGCAGGGCCGGCAACGAACGAGAAGCCGCGGGCAGGCCCTGGAGCGACTCCAATCGGCCCGGCTCACTGTCGGCAGGGTCCGGACCTGGGCGGCAGGTACGGACGCCAGCCCCCGCCCTGCTCGGACTTCGGAATAGATCCCTGACCGACGCGCCGCAGCCCGTCTCTCTCCGCGGACGGGAGCCCGGCGGCGGTGCCGGCAGGATGCGTGCACTGCTCGGCCCGGACGCACCCCCGATGGAGCAGCTGCTGCCCAGGCACCCGGACGCGGCGCGGCCAGCGCTCAGGAGCGCGGTGGAGAGGCTGGCGGCCGACCGCTCTAAGTACGTGCGGGCTCTGCCGGGGACGGCTTGGGGCCCGGCCTCCGAGGGCAGCAGCCCCGGGGCGGGCGGAGAACAGGCGGTCGACCCGCGCCCCCCGGCCCGCGCCCCCGGCGCTGTGGCGCGCAGGGCGATACCGCGGAGGCCGCTGAGGCCGGACTCGCTGGTCATCTACCGGCAGAAGTGCGAGTTCGCGCGCGGGCCGGGCGCCGACGGCCTCCGGGACAGCCTGGCGAGGAAGCGCCTCCCGGGGCCGGGTAAGGACAGGACGCCGACGCCCCCCGAGACGTCCCCGGCGGGAGAGAAGGGCAGGGCCGCGGGCGCGGAGGCGACGCCAACGAAGCCGGGCCCCGCCGCGGCTCCCGTGCGTCCCGCGCGCCCCACCACCGCGGCCGCTCCGCAGACGCCCCCCGCGCGTCCCAGCACCCCGGCCGCTCCCCCGACAACGCTCCCCGCGCGCCCTAGCGTCCCGACGACGCCCCCCGCGCGCCCCAGCACCCCGGCCGCTCCCCCGACAACGCTCCCCGCGCGCCCTAGCGTCCCGACGACGCCCCCCGAGCGCCCCAGCGTCCCGGCCTCTCCCCCGACGCCCCCCGCGCGCCCCAGCGTCCCGGCCGCTCCCCCGACGCCGCCCTCGTGCCCCAGGGTCCCGGCCGCGTCAGGGACCCGCGAGCTGCAGGCGGCCAGGCGCCGGGGTCTGCAGCGCTCGCAGTCCGACCTCAGCTCCCGCTACTCCAAGTCCGCTGCCGAGTTCGACACCTTCTTCCAGTTCTGCGGGCTGGAGCCCGAGGTGGTGGAGGCCCTCGGGCGGGAGAACTTCTCCGCGGGCTCGGACCAGGGCACCCTCAGAGTCCGCAGCGTGAGCGTCGCCACCTCCGAGGGTGGCTTCTCGCGGCGCAGCTGCGGCGATGAGGGGCTGCAGGAGGAGGAGCTGACGGAGCAGGCGCCCAGCGCCCCCTCGGTCGTGGAGAGGAACGCGCGCATCATCAAGTGGCTGTACACCTGCAGGAAGGCCACGGAGACGCCAGCGCCACGGTGGCAAGGCCCGCGTGACCACCGCACCGAGGCGGGGACCCACGGGTGAGCCACCACGGGGTGTCCGTGGGCGTCTGCGAGGGCTGTGTGGGTGGCAGAGCTGCATGAAGCGGGTGGGCAGGCCTCTGAAGTGGGAAGGGACCCGGAGAGTGAGACGCAGAGTCTGGGGCGAGACAACCCAGGTTCCCTCGGTCCCAGGCCCTTTCCTCTGACAGCCTGGAACCTGATTCTGTCCGTAGCACCAGCCGGTTGGCTCATTTCTATGGGAAGAGAAAACACTCGGACTAAAGCTGTACATCTGCTGTTATGATGTCTGCCATGGAAATAGCCCGGAGCCCTGGTTCCCGTGTGACTTGGGGCGACCTGGGGTTATATCAGAGCTGGCTGTCCCTGCAGGGCAGGCCTCACACAGCCTGGAGGCCTTGATCAGCGACCCGGCCTTGTGGCAGTGAGGCGTTCATTTCGTGGACAGATCTCTCTTTGGCCAGATAGGTTTCACATTGTTTGAGAGCTTTGTCCCTAGGGCAGCTCAGTGTACAAGGAGCTTTGGTTGGTGAACTGGGCGCTGGACTAGGTTATCTCTGTGCCTTTGAGCTCTGCATGGCCCCAACTCTATAGCTCATGTGCCTCTGAGGGCCATACCGGAGGTTGCTTCTTGCCCTATGACAGCGGCCCAGGATTGATCTCGGTTCTCCACTGAGGAGCTAAGGAGTGCTGGCCCCCACCGTCACCTGTACCCCCTTCCTGGCACTTGTGGGGGCATTTCCAGGGACAGAGAAGGGAGAGGAGGCTGCACTTTTTCAGGGTTCTCTTATGAGAACCAAGAATTTAAAGATTACAGTATCTTTTCTTCTCTATCCTTCAATGACAACTTGGTATAATTTTTAAAATCATGTGATGGAAGTATTTTGTCTGCCCTCGACATAAACTAATTGAAGACACAGTGTCAGTGTTTAGGCTGTTGGGGGAGGCGCCACAGACTTGTGTGTCACAGCTCACCTGTGTGTGAGAATGGAAGCGACACCTGGTAAGGCCCCTGAGGGGCCATGGTCCTAGTTCAGGTGTGAAAGTTAACAAGGAGAGAGGAGGTCATTGTCTGTTTTGGACCTGGAGGGATCATGACCTAAGTTCCTTCTTATAATTTATTGAAGATTAATTGCCACTAGCATAAGCCCCCAGTGGATGTAAATGGGTAGTCAACATTTAAGTACAGAAAGGATTTACTTGTGTTTTTCATAGATTCTCTTCTTGGCAATGAGATGAGATGCAGGCACTGTGGGTATCTTGGTGTGGAGGGTGCAAGTTTTAGGGGCTCAGGTGGTCCCAGAGGGATATGGTCAGGTGCACAGAGCCCTGACCTGGGGTTTGGGAGGCCTGTCTTCTGTCAGTCACCACCCTGCACTTAGGGCATCCATTGTCCATAAAAGGAAGGAAGAGGGAGGGTCTCCGACTCTGCACATTGTGATCTGTATAGTCAGGTATCTGTCTATCCGGGTTTCTTGATTGGAACCCAGAAAAGGAAAAGAAAGCAGCACTACCTATTGGAAATGTAACATGTACGTTTATAAGTAGGTCCCTCCTGTGCTTTAGGGACAGATGGCAGGTAGACTGGAGGGTAAATGTGCTGAGAACAAGTAATGCACAGACAAACCCAAACAAAACTCAACAACAGGAACATAAAAGACTCAGCTCCGGTCCCTCCAAACCCAGACCCACCCAGGCCCAGGGCTCCAATGTCAAAGCAGCATCCTGAGCAGAATTGGGGTGCAGCCCATGAAGGAACCTTCCCAAGGCCCTGAGGTTAGGGTTGAGCCTAGGAAAGTGTAAGAAGTGTGGTCAGCCTGACATGGGAGCCGTTGATGTCAAGGCAGAGAGAACAGACAGGAACTGCGGAGAGTGAAGCTATGCAGAACAGAGGTTCATGGGGTCGGCCTCTGCCTCTCTCTCGATCCTGGGGGGAGCTGGGGGGCGGGCAGTGTCCCCTCCCGTCTGAGCAGAGAAAGGGAGAGTCACCGAGCCAGCCCAACTTTCTCTGCCTCAGCAGCCACCAGCACTGCATATATTTGCTTCACACGTTTACTCCCCTGGACCCAGTCCAGCTCCTTGGGACTGAGGCGACATCTGCTTCTGATCACAGCCCCCTGGTTGGACCAATGTGGACTCCCGTGAAGAAGGTCCAGAGGAGAGAGCTGAGCACAGAGCAGCCTCCACCCCTTTCTCGGCTGAGGGTCCTCTGGCAGCCGACCTGTCCTCATGGGGTTACTTGTTTGAGACTAATTCCATCACTTCTGGAAGCTGTGGGAGCAGGAATGCAAGCTGAAATTTTTCTCTAGTTTATCAGCACATTTGTGTTGGAATTCATACAAATTTATTACAGGATTTCATGAAAAATTCAGAAAATCAGTTGGTTTGCTTTCTAACTGAAAATAAAAACAAATATATTTTACATGGAGGTTTTTGTCCCATTGGTAGGTAGAGGTATTATTAGCAATTAAAATTAAAATATACTATCCAGATTAAAGAACAAATTCATAAGGTTATTACCCTCATGGAGTAAAAATGTTTACTTGTCAAAATGGAGAGTTCAGAGCTGGGGAATGACTCAGAACGTGCAGTGACCCCATGGGGATCGTGAGCAACAGGCAGCTACACGTGGGTGATTTTGTGTTCTATTTCCCAGCGTATAATTCATGAGAATTGCTTCTCTGTCTGCGGGCGTTTAGTCATCTTCCTGTCCTTCAAGTTGCTGCAAAGGCAGGGCTGCCGAAATTTCAGTCTCTCTGCTGTGTGGCTTTGGATATATGTTACTGGTTTTAATATTGTTATAAGAGAATGGTAACTTGTCCTTTGGGATAAACATTGTTTAATTTTAAGGCAAAATCTCAGGTATTCCCCAGCTCTCTTCATATCATTCTTCAGTAAAAAAGGAAAGCTGTGGGCCCCTGGGCACTGATGGGGCAGAGCTGGTCTCGCATTGTACACATGCCCTGGGGGAGCAAACACACACACTCCTGCCTCCTGCTCCTTTCTCTGCTGACCCTCCACGGGGTGGGACCCTAGCTGGGTCCCTCGCTGAGCATTTTACGTGAACAGCATTGAGTAGCCTTGAGGCACCCCTTCCTGTCTCAGGTCAGCCCTGGGCCTTTTTAGGGAGATTTGTTTGGAAAGGGTGGGGTTTGTTTGCCTGCAGGTATGTATCTGGGCTGCCTGCCTTGTTTTCTGTTCTGTCCTTCAACTCTGTGACAGTACAGACTGGCTTTACCAACATTCAGACATTTCCTTTACTGCCTGTGAACAGTTGGAGGGAAACTGATTTCAAAAATCCAGGAAAAGGCTACAAGAAGATGGATATTTATCTGACAGAGAGAGACCAGATGGCTCTTTACTAAGGCTGCCAACTTCATTTCAAAATTTAAAATGCAAAAAGGAAATGTATGAATTTTTCAATTAAATGTATTGGGGTGACATTGGTCAATAGGATCACATAGGTCTCAGGTATGCATTTCTATGGTACAAGATAATGCAGCAAATATCACAGAACCAAGGTCTGCGGGGAGCCTGGGGAGTATAATGTGTGGCCCTGCAGCCTCAGCCTGGACTGGAGTTGATGGACAGCTTTCCTTACTCCTCAGGGGGGAGCCTTCCCAACAGTGGGGCTCCTTGAAATATGTCCTGGGTGATTGGAGGCCCCAGGACCATGATCACTGCCAGGTCTGGTCCAGTGCACCCAAGTGACCACACGGTTGTTTTTTCCAGGAATAAAGAGCTCCACTGAAGAAGCTTATGGAACTCCCGAAGGTTGGAGATGCTGTGGAGAAGTTGGGGCCGTGGAACTTAGAAATCAAGAATTAGCCGAGTGACACACCGTAGCCCCCTAGAGATGCTTCCTTGTTTCAGGTGGACCCACCCTGGCCTCCAGAGGAAATATTTTCAGGGCATCTTTTTGACTGGTTTGCTAAGAGGCACTGTGATGCTTTTTGATAATGTCTACATTAATTTAAAAAGGCAAAGGCGTGAAAACCAAGCATGCCATGGTATCAACTGCTTTCAGTCCTCGGAATCAGAGTTCTGGAACCCCAAGACGGTGTTCTCTGTCCCTGGGGCTCGCACCTGCATGCACACTTCTCAGCATCACGCACTGTGCACCGTTAATGACTCAGCACGTTTCCAGTCACTGGAGGGCTCCTCTGTTACTCCACTTACGCCAGTCCCCCTGGGTGGCAAACAAGTGCAAATACCATGAAAAGATAAGTGGGAGCTGAAATACTGCTCAAGTCCTTTTCTTGTACGGGGACCATTTTGGAGAGGCAGGTCTTGTCATCAGCGTTCCGGCTCCCAGCTGTGCGGAATCTCCAGGAAGGAGCCAGGGTCTGGACTCTGCAGCTCAGGCCCCGCCCTGACGTGTGTCATCAGTGCCCAGAAGTGGCACCAGTTCAGCTCTGTGCAAAGGGCATGTTTGCCAGGAGGGGCAGCCTCCGGGTGGCTGGGAGCCCAGGGTCAGATCCTTGTTGATACGGAGTTGGTGTGACCAGATGCTGAGCCGGCTCACAGCATCCAGAGTAAAGAAAACAGCCTTCAGATTCAGAACCTTATGAGAGAAACTGAGTCCATGACGACAGCCCAAAGAACACTGTCACCGGACAAGTCTCCCAAAGCTTTCGGTGTTTTATCAAATGTCCCTCTTCAAGAACAACATTATTGGAGAGAAGAATGTGGAGGGGAGAGAAATGATTTTTTCAATGGTAAAATAGTTCAATGTAAAATAGTTCTAACCAGTTCACATTGGTATATTGTGTATTCATTTAGTATGATATTCTATTTTTGTAACTGTTTTACTAGAAGAGTAGGTCTTTGACTTAAATATTTATTTTTACACAGTTATCAAGTCTTCAAATAGTTTTATTCACGTCACATAATTTTAGTTTTACCAGAACAATACCACATCCTGTTCTCCTACTTTCTCCTGCTTCTCTTTTCGTATTTGCTGTCTAATTGCATTTCAGTTTTCAACTGTGAGCAGTGTTCTCTGATCTGCAGAGTGCTCTGAGCGGACAGCTGTTTGCACACAGCCAAGGTCTGTGCGTTGGAGGCTGTGCAGGCGGACAATGGGCCTTTCTCAGTGTGGACTCCGTCGAAAGACAGTGAATCCCTCCGTCACTCCTACGAAATGCTGCTGTTCTCGGGGTTGCACTTTGTTAAACACAACAGTGTCAGGGATGAGAGTTTTTGAGGGGTCTTCTGCACCCCATCCCATCTGCTCTTTTGCAGCCGTCCCAGGAATTTTATGCAAAAGCTTTTAAGTAAAATTGCTTTGTGCCTTTATACACTCAGAGTGGGATGAACTGAAACTAAGGTCAAATTTATGTTAGTGGTGCAGGTTCATCTTCCGTAGAATAGATGAAAAATATCTTTAAAAAAAAATTGGTTTCTGTTTTAAAACCACCAAGACTTTCCAGAAGCATTTGCACTTGGGTGGGGACACGGGTGGGGGGGGGGGGGGAGAGGGTGCGGGGGAGGAAAGGATCCCTCAGAGTGAATTCTGGAGGAGATGTCAGATGCGTGAGGATCAGGCAGAGTGTGTGCTGGGGGCTGAGAAGCCCTTTCCTAACCCGGAATTTGCTGAGCGATTTTGAGGAAACCAAATTGTGCACCTCAATCTGAGTGAATAGAAAGCTTGTAATTGCTTTTAAAAAGAAGGAGCGGTAGTTACTGTGGCAGCTCTGTTTCATTTGTTCATGGAAGAACGGGATATAGAATGACCTCGTTAAACACAACAGAGGAAGAGCTACAGGCGACGTGAGGCCTGTGGCCTGTCTGGTCTCACTAATAGGTGGTGCAGGCTCCCAGCAGACGGGAGGGTCCGTGTGCGAGTGGGATGTCTCCTTGTTCCAAACATTGGTTCCTAGTCTGTAAACTGGTCACTGGTCCTGGAGTGACAGGAAGGCTATACCGAACACTGCCCTTTTCTGTAGGTGAGTGTCGAGTGTGGTTGTAGCGGGGCCGGTGGTGCCATAAAGCATCAGACCACACGGTTACTGCAGTTTCTAAATAGTTTTTCCTACATGCTACTTGCAAGGGGAGTGCAGTAGTGTATATTCTGTATTAAAGACAAAGTATTTTCTATCTTTTATTATTAATTTACTAGAGGCCCAGTGCACAAAAATTTGTGCACTCGGGAGGGTCCCTCAGCCCGGCCTGTTCCCTCTTGCAGTCTGGGACCCCTCGGGGGATGACCACCTGCTGGCTTAGGCCCGCTCCCTGGGGGATTGGGCCTACGCTGGCAGTCAGACATCCCTATGGCAGTCTTGGAGCCCTCGGGGGATGTCCACTTGCCAGCGGGGAGCAGGCCTAGCTGCAGTCAGACATCCTTAGCGCTGCTGAGAAGGTGGAAGAGGCTCCCACCACCACCACTGTACTGGCACCCTCAGCCTGGCTTGTGGCTGAGTAGAGCTCCCCCTGTGGGAGCGTACTGACCACCAGGGGGCAGCTCCTGCATTGAGTGTCTGCCCCCTGGTGGTCAGTGTGTGTCATAGTGACCAGTGATTCCCAGTCGCTCTGCTGTTAGGGTCAATTTGCATATTACCCTTTTATTATATAGGATGAACATGAAATTCTAGAAACAATCAGCAAGCATCTGCCCGTGATCACTTTCCATCTCTTTCTTTTCCTTCTTTTCCTGACTTTAACTCATCACATCACCAGTACAAATGAGGAGAGAAGTGACATCGGCGAGTCCCATGGCATCAGAGGGCCCCCGTCAGCGATTTCCAACCCGTGTGCCACAAGAATTTGTAAAACGTACACTAATACCTGACTCTTTACTCAGGAGCACTGGCCTCTTTTCCTTAGATTGTGAGAAAATAAAACAACAACAGCCAATACAACAACAGCCATTCCCAATTTGCTGAGCAACTTTGAGAAACGTAGGAATGAATTGAATGAATCAAAGTAATACCTTTTTTTTTCTTCAGATCGGCCAGAAATATGTATATTGGGGTGCACAGCACTTTGCTAATTAGTTTATGTGCCGTGAAATGAAAATAGGTGAACATCGCTGTTCTAGGTCTTCCTGAAGATGGAATGCAGTAAAAAGAGTTTTGAATACTTAGGACATTATTTTTCTTTCAGTGTTTCATCAATCTTTTGCTTGAAAATGTTTTTTCTCTGTTTTAATAATACCATCATTGGAGAATGAGCACAGATAACACAGCCAGCACTGTTTGTAACCTTTTGCGTAACTTAACTCATGACTGAAGTTTGTTCTTGGTGGCTTCCTTGTTTTGAGCTGCTGGGATTGGGCATCCAACCCGTCAATCAGGGTGCTGACTGGGGCGTAGCTTATGCCCAAACCTATACAAGCATCCAAAGACAGGCATTCTCGAGGAGAATAAGTAGATCACTCTATTTCCATGAAGACCATGGTCAAGTCCCGGGTACTGCAAAGCTCCTGTTTTCCTGTGTGGACCCCATGGGAGGTGTGGGGGCCCAGGTGTGGCTGAATGCAGTTGTCTTTTCTGTCTTTGGGTAAAGAAGTTCTTACCTTTCGGTTACAAATTTGGAAAATTCAATAATATAAGAAGCAGTGAGGTGATCTACAGTGGCTTGGTGTGGGAATTTTGCTTGCATTTTTTAAAAACATTTTTTAAATTGACTTCAGAGAGGAAGGGAGAGGGAGGGAGAGAGAGAAACAATTATGAGAATCATTGATTGGCTGCCTCCTGCACGCCTGCTATTGGGGATGGAGCCCGCAACCCAGGCATGTGCCCTTGGCTGGAATCGAACCTGGGACCCTTCAGTCCACAGGCCAGTGCTCTATCCACTGAGCAACACCAGCTAGGGCTGCTTGCATTTTTTAGTGATGAAATAAATAGACCTACATTCTAGTTCAGTGTTCCAGGTTAGAAATATCAAATAAGAAGGACATTGAGTTCAGGGCTAGAAGCTTAAACTCTGATTGCAGAAGCAGTAGGGAGCCACTGATGGGCCAGAACATGAAATTACAGGATCTCCTCACCCATCTTGCTGTCCACCTGGTGGTCTTGCAGCAACCGTGACTTCAGTCAAGGACAAGCCTTCACTGCGGAGCTGGGGTCTGCACGGGGCACCAGGAATCCACAGCTGCCTGCCACGAAGGGTTCATGTCCTAACAGGAGGATCAAATAGTCTGTCAGAATGGATGGATGGATGGATGGATGGATGGATGGAGAGATAATAAATTCTTGACAAGGAAATAGATGACAGAGATGAGGGAGGCCAATCTGTCTGAACCATAAATGGAAACCCAAATCCAAATTATTTAAAAAGAAGCAACATGCAAATTATAAATGGCATATATTTTACTGAGAGGTTTACTTTAATCCCTAGAGAGCCTTTACCTGGCAGCTTAAAGCTTTGAGCAGAACATATTACAAATGGGCTTCAGGATCGGGCCTCCTCTGGTCAGAGGCTGTTGTGAGGGATCGCCTGCTTCCCTAGGCTTTCAGAAGTCCCTTGTCAAACTCAGGGAAAGAGTAAAAGAGTAGCAAATAAGCAGTCAGCCCAGAGCAGGCCAGGCTGGTGCACGGGCTGCGGTTCCCTGAGTGACCCCTGGAGCGACTCCACGACACACCTGGAGGTGAGCAGCAGGGCTCAGGCTGGGACAAGTCAGGATGATGTGATCAGGATTTGAGGACTGTGTTTGCTAAGCTGCTTGGCAAGTCAGAATTGCAGCATCCAGAGCTCTAAACGAGGCGTGTACCCAGAGTGCCAGGGACGTGTTCTCACAGGGTTTTCCTTGCAGGTGGTGAGGTGCCAAAGAGAGAATGTCCTTGTGGGCATGTATTGGGATGGGTAGAGACCCACTCAGCAAGGACCACAGAAGGTGAGGCTGGAAGTGATGTCGGAAACCATGTGACTCCCCCACCAAAGCCCCCAAGTCTTGAGGAGGAAGAACAAAGCTGGAGGTATCACACTCCCTGATATCCAAGTATGGTGACAAACTCTCAGAATCCAAACAGTAAAATACAGGTCCAAAAAGCAGACAGGTGGACCAGTGGAACAGAACAGAGAGTCCAGAAATGAACCCACACCCATGTGGTCAATTAATCTGAGACAGAAATGGCAGGAGCACTCAATGGGGGAAAGACAGGCCCCTCAATAAATGGTGTTGGGGGAACTGGAGCAGGTGCATGTAAACAAAATGAAGCTAATCACTTTCTCACACTATGTACAAAGATAAACTCAGAATGGATTGAGGGGCTGAGGTGTGGAGACACAGAGCAGCTGCCTGGGTCAAAACCTAATGTGTCAGAGAAAGAAGAGTTTGAACCCAAATCTGCCTGGTCCCAAAGGCCACTCTGTCTCTCTCTGCACAGGCTGGTTTTCAAGAAATGAATGCCACCCAGCACGTGTAAGGATTTACTAACCTACCAAGTGCACAGACCGGTTCAATGGGTCAGAACCTCAGCAGATTTGCATACAACTGCTCAGTGCCCCAGTGTCGCCCCTGATGGGTGACCTGGGCCAGATTGGGCTGCCTCTGGGTGCCGATGCTGCCCCAACATCCACACCGAGAAACCTCAGAGCAGCAAATGCTCACATTACAGGAAAGGCTCTCATGTTTAGGTTTCTGTAGATAATCCTATATAATAAAGAGGTAGTATTCAAATTAACCCTCACACCCTCTCAAGATGGCTGCCTATGACCAGGCGGCAGGGGAGTTAGTGAAGGATGACCAAACGACTGAACAGAAGTCTGCATGGGGCAACCAGGCCAGCAGGGGGGCAGTTGGGGGCGACCAGGCCAGCATGGGGGGCAGTTGGGGGCAACCAGGCTGGCAAGGGGGGGCAGTTAAGGGCAATCAGGCCAGCACACAGAGGCAGTGAGGGGCGGTCAGGCTGGCA